TCAGAGTTCCTTCGAGAGTGGGTATCTTACAGAGGTCAGACACTAGCTAGAACAGGTACAAATGATTACAACGGAAATCATTATTGTTCATAGTTATTATCTTGTCTAGATTCATATTCATCTGTCTCTCTCTGATTACTCCTACCAGTTAGGGGTATGATGTACTATAGGCAGGCTCTGGAGCTTCAATGCTACCAGGAAGTTGCAGGGGAACAAGGTTTGTATATTCTGAGCCAGTTGCCAATAACTTGAATGCTTCTATCAAAGCTTTTGGAACCAAAATCTGAGATCTTAATTTACTATTTGCTACTTCTTGCAGCCGAGTTTAGTGTCTTTCGGGCCATGGCCTCCAATGATGATAATCAGAAAGCTTTCCTGGAACGTGCCAAAGCTCTTGCAGATCTGAAGTTCACTTATGTTGTTTCTTGTCAGGTCTACGGAAATCAGAAAAAGTCCAGTGATATTCACAACCGTAGTTGCTACACGAATATTCTGCAGCTCATGCTGAAGTATGTTAAATTTGGATAGTCTTTGATGAAATATCATGATCTATTTGCCTAACCTTGTCATTTTTTGTTAGATATCCATCATTGCGGGTTGCTTATGTAGACGAGAGGGAGGAGACAGCAGATGCAAAATCTCCTAAGGTCTTTTACTCTGTACTTCTAAAGGGAGGTGACAAGTTTGATGAGGTACAAGGATTTCCCGAGCAACCTTATAAGTTTGCATCTCCGTTTTCCTTTTTATCAGTTACTCTTTTGTATATGCTGTTTTCCATTATGCTGATTAGATTCCTATGCATGTCGTTATTCTTAACGTGAATGGTCTTCCATTACCAGGAAATTTACCGCATCAAGCTTCCTGGTCCTCCAGCTGAGATTGGTGAAGGAAAGCCTGAAAATCAAAATCATGCTATCATATTTACACGTGGTGAAGCACTACAAACTATAGATATGAATCAAGTATGTATTCTTCTTCATTCTCATAAGTAGGTCAGAACCATAGATTGAATGTCGCGTCCTCATGGTTAGTCTCTGTGCAGGACAATTACTTTGAAGAAGCTTTCAAACTAAGAAATGTATTGGAGGAATTCAATAAGGAGCGTGTTGGTAGACGCAAGCCAACAATATTGGGTCTCCGAGAACATATATTTACTGGAAGGTACATCCACCTTGCAAGATATCAGTTTATAAACATTTTAAATCATGGAAGTATTATAATTTGCAACTATGTATTGGCGCATGCTTACTTTTTTCCCTCTCTTGGTATAGTGTTTCGTCATTAGCTTGGTTCATGTCCAATCAGGAGAGTAGTTTTGTTACAATTGGCCAAAGAATTTTGGCAAACCCTCTGAGGTATTTTTCTTCACGACTGAAACTTTTCTACCCTGAATCAAGAATGTGTGGTCTGCAGAACCATGTTTGCTTTTGGTTCTTAGACCTTTTGCATTCTAAGCTTTTTAGCATTACTTGTGGAGCTAAGCTTTATGTCAACATTTCTTTCTTGATTTACTTATTTAACTTCACATCTCTTTTATGGGTGCAGGGTCCGTTTCCATTATGGCCATCCTGACATATTTGACAGAATCTTTCACATAACAAGGGGCGGTGTGAGCAAGGCTTCGAAAGTAATAAATTTGAGTGAGGATATTTTTGGAGGTAATGGCAATATTTGTTCTCTACAAGTTAACAATTCAGCGATAGAGAAATGATAGTTTTGTTCCAAGCAGCTGCTGATTTGTTTGTCTATGTATATAGGCTTCAATTCAACTCTCCGTGGAGGATATGTTACACATCACGAGTATATCCAAGTTGGAAAGGGACGGGACGTGGGGTTGAACCCAATCTCTATTTTTGAAGCAAAAGTGGCAAATGGAAACGGGGAGCAAACGCTAAGCCGTGATGTTTACCGTTTGGGGCATCGGTTTGACTTTTACAGGATGCTCTCATTCTATTTTACGACCATTGGGTTCTATTTTAGTAGCATGGTATGCTCAAAAATTTATATCCCAAGTTTGCTTTTATTTTAGTTGATCTTATGTATACACATGGTTAAAGGTTATGACTTGTGCTTTTTTCAGCTCACTGTTCTTACTGTATATGCATTCCTGTATGGACGTATGTACATGGTTATGAGCGGATTGGAAAAAGAGATTTTGCGACTCGCAAGCCCGAATCAGCTTGAGGCTCTTGAGCAGGCTCTGGCTACACAGTCAATATTTCAGCTTGGTTTCTTGATGGTGTTACCGATGGTAATGGAGATTGGCTTGGAACATGGTTTTCGCTCTGCTATTGTCGATTTTTTCATAATGCAGCTGCAGCTAGCCTCCGTATTCTTTACATTCCAGCTTGGGACAAAGTCACATTATTACGGGAGAACAATTTTACATGGTGGTTCTAAATATAGACCGACGGGCCGTGGGTTTGTTGTTTTCCATGCTAAGTTTGCGGAGAACTACAGGTTGTATTCGAGAAGTCACTTTGTGAAGGGACTAGAGCTGCTTTTACTGCTAGTTGTTTATCAAATCTATGGGAATTCATACCGTAGTTCAAGCCTATATCTGTATATCACAGTCTCCATGTGGTTTATGGTTGGTTCTTGGTTGTTCGCACCATTTATATTCAATCCTTCGGGTTTTGAGTGGCAAAAGACGGTTGATGATTGGACTGATTGGAAACGATGGCTTGGAGATCGGGGTGGTATAGGCATCCCGGTTGAAAAAAGCTGGGAATCGTGGTGGAACGTAGAGCAAGAACACCTCAAACATACAAGTATTAGAGGGAGGATTCTGGAAATCACACTTGCTCTCCGCTTTTTCATTTATCAGTACGGAATTGTTTACCAGCTCAACATCTCCCAGCGCAGCAAGAGCTTTTTGGTAAAAAAAAGTTCCATCACTTTTCTTCCATCTTTCAGAGTTTATATGTCAGATTTCTGGACTATGATCCTATAGTCTCAATCTCTTTTTTTACTTCCTCTTTGTAGGTTTATGGACTCTCTTGGGTGGTCTTGCTCACATCATTACTTGTTCTAAAGGTTTCACAAATACTTCATCCTTTATACACACATAAATAGTCATGAATCAATGCTTATATAGGCTTGGGACTCACTTGAGTTTAATCTTTTCTGAGTGTCAGATGGTATCAATGGGCAGACGAAGATTTGGAACAGATTTTCAGCTAATGTTCAGGATTCTTAAAGCACTTCTCTTCCTCGGCTTTTTGTCAGTCATGACTGTGTTATTTGTTGTCTTCAAACTCACACTCACCGACCTATCTGCTTCGATTCTTGCTTTTCTTCCAACCGGGTGGGCGATTCTTCTGGTAAATAGCCATCAAAACCCCCCTCAGAATCATAATATCGGAACTTGCATCATGTTCTTATTGGATTTTTTTCTCAGATTGGGCAAGTACTGAGGTCACCGATCAAAGCTTTAGGGATTTGGGACTCGGTGAAGGAGCTAGGAAGAGCGTATGAGAAGATCATGGGACTTGTAATCTTTGCACCAATCGCTGTTCTGTCTTGGTTTCCCATTGTCTCCGAGTTTCAAGCTCGTCTGCTTTTCAATCAAGCGTTTAGCAGAGGCCTTCAAATCTCTATGATTCTCGCTGGTCGGAAAGACAAAGCAGCAACTTCGCACAAGTAAAACCATAAACACGCTGTTCCCGGGTTTCTTGTGTCATAAGCAAAAAACCTTCTTCGTTAGAACGGTGTCGTTGGACTTGGACACCTCACACTCTCATCACACTCTCATCACACTCATGTGTTGTAGTTATCACAATGATTTTGACATATGGTCTTTAATAATAGCTCAATTGATTTCTTTTGGTTTTTGATTAATATTACAATAATAATTGCGGGAAAAGTCGATGAAGAAAAAATATTGAATTGATCCTAAATTCTTGAATGCACATCATGGAAACTCCATGATTCTTTTTGACTTGTTTTTTTTGGATGATTACAATATAAATACATCGTCTAGTTATTGCTAGATACACCAATTAAATGTCCGAGGCATTATATGATGAAACTTCAATTTCATTATTCTTTGGCATTTTCTTGCATGTGACAAATATTGTATTGTATCAAAGAGATAAAAACAAAATAATAATAATGCTATACATAGCCAAAAAAAAAATGGAGGAGGATACATCAGAAGGAATTGTAGAGAAAATAAAATCATAAAGCAGAGAATGTGGTTATCCTAGAGTTCTCTTGTTTCTTTTATGATTTTTTTTATTACTGGAGTCTCAAGTACAGAAAATCCAGAAAATATCTTTATTACAATATATAAACGTATTAGACTCAATAAAGTAAGTTTGTAAGAAAAAAATCAGTTTAGTTTCAATCTTGAAGTCAAACACAAGAAGTCATTCTACTTCAGCATATATAAGAAGATAAGGAGGACCTAAATATCCAAAGCCTGAATCTGAGAAATTTCCTCTTTTGTACTTTGCCTTGTTAATCTTTATCCACTTCGTTTTTTTCTCTATTTTAATTTATTTTCTACCTTCTAAAATATATTTTACTTGTCCAAAAAAAAAATTATATATTATTAATTAATCATGATCCAGCTATAAATGCCACAGTTGTCAAAGTTCACCATCTTTGCTTTCCCTTCACTGCTCTCTCTCTCTCTTTCTGTATTACTTTTTTGTTGATTTTGTTTCCTCAAATTGCAAATCAAAGCTTTCTTTCCAGCTTTAGAACACACTCTCACCAACAATCTCACCCAACTTTTTTCCCTCTTTTAACTCCTCACTAATTCCTAATCCCACAAACCCTAACTCTCTCTCTCTCTTTAATCCTTCCTTACATACATTATTCAATATAGTTGAGTAAAGTTTCTATCTTTCTTCTGATTCCTTGTTGGAATTACCTAAATTTTCTGGGTGGGCTCGTCCAGAGAAACTTCAATTGCAATTCATCATTAAGCATATCTATGCTAATTGCGTTCTCTTCTTCTTTATTTCACTTTCTCTTTGGTTTGCTTCAATATCAAAGAAAAGAGGAACCTTTTCTCTTTGCTTTCTTCTCTTCTAAGCAGAAGATTAATCAAAGAGCTTAGTTGCCACATTCTTAGGTAATTTCATGGAACTAAAAGGAACTGCTTTTTTTTGTTTTGTTTCAAGAATTCTACTTTCGGTAAGCATTATGTGATTCTTCTGTGTAATGTCTCTTGCTTCAATCGTAAGTGATTCTTTTCCAATAGTTTAAGAGCTGGGTTTCCTCAGTTTTTGTTTTGGTGACAAATGTTGGAAAGTTAATGCACGTAACTTGTTTGTTGAAATGCCGCAATTAATTGCTGAATTTGCGCGTGCTTTTTTGAATCCTGTTTCTCTATGTGTCAGCATTTTTGGTCGAAGTGGTTTTTCAAACTTCTGAGTCGGCAGCTTTACTTACCAGTTTTAGAGATTCTTCCATTTGTCCAACAATCCCTGTTTTGCTTGTAAGATTTGTGAAAGTCAGAGATGTCTTAGGTCTCCTTGAGGTGTTAATAATTGTACGTTTTCTTGTTTACTAGGTGGGGTTTGTGAAGTTGTGAGCAAAAGGAACCAAAGATGTCATCTGAGAGTTCTTTGAGTGCTGACATGTCGAAGAAGGTCTCCTTTTTAGGTTTGAAGGGTATGAAACTGTGGGTATTGATTTGTTTAGTAGTTGGCACATTTGTAGTTTTGGTTCTCTGCATATTATCTCTATGGATTGTATTCCGCCGAAAATCCCGGAGATCATCTCACAAGCTGTTACCCTTCAGTCAAATACCACGGGTGGCGAAAGATATCAGGGTTGATGATAGAGTTGAGTTTCAAAATCGTAATGAAAATTTATGTATCACCAATGCTGATAAATCTAGTGACAGAAACTCGGGAAAGATGATGTCTTTCTTGGGAAGAACGAAGTCTAGTGATAATGATAGTATAAGTCAATGTAGCTCTGTGCATCATCATGAGAGAGCTTGTAGTTCTCACTCCGGTGAAGATGGAAGCTTTGGAACCGCTTGGAGGCAAGCTTCCCTATCGCAGGGCGCACTTGTAACAGCATCTCCTTTGGTTGGTTTGCCAGAAATATCTCATCTTGGCTGGGGACACTGGTTTACTCTTAGGGATCTTCAGCTAGCCACCAACCGTTTTGCTGCAGAAAATGTAATCGGTGAGGGTGGTTATGGAGTAGTTTATAAGGGTAGACTCATCAACGGTAACGATGTTGCTGTAAAGAAGCTTCTTAACAATCTGTAAGTTTTTGTTGGGATTATCGAATGTTTTTGAACCTTATGTTTGTTTCCTTTTTACTTGTCTATTAATCCTATCACAATTTTGTCTTTAGGGGGCAGGCTGAGAAGGAATTCCGGGTTGAAGTTGAGGCTATTGGTCATGTACGGCACAAGAATCTTGTAAGGCTTCTAGGATATTGCATAGAGGGTGTTAATAGGTGAGTCTTACGTGCCTCTTATCAGTCTGAATGTGCTACTAATTTTGTCTCATCAGTAATCTCCTATTGTACCCCCGAGTTTAAACTAGTCCCATAAATCAATTTCTGTTTGGATGTAATGCAGGATGCTTGTTTATGAGTATGTGAATAGTGGTAACTTAGAACAATGGCTACATGGAGCCATGGGGAAACATAGCACTCTCACTTGGGAGGCTCGCATGAAGATCCTTGTCGGTACTGCGCAAGCGTAAGTTGTTTAATATGTCGACTGTGGTTGGACCTTTTACTTGAAATTTCAAAAACAACTCTTTAAGGGGATATTGACATGCTCTGTACTACAATTTTACAGGCTTGCTTATTTGCACGAAGCAATAGAACCAAAAGTAGTCCACAGAGACATAAAAGCAAGCAATATCCTGATTGATGATGACTTCAATGCAAAGCTTTCTGATTTTGGGTTAGCCAAGCTCTTAGACTCGGGTGAGAGTCACATCACGACCAGAGTCATGGGCACCTTTGGGTAAGTCTAAAATTTGTACCCTCTTTGGTGATGATGGGTTTTCGTATACATCGTATTAACGGTCATGTGTATATGCATCAGGTATGTCGCACCCGAATATGCTAATACAGGTCTATTGAATGAGAAAAGTGACATTTATAGCTTTGGTGTCCTGTTGCTAGAGACTATAACTGGAAGAGATCCAGTAGACTATGAACGTCCAGCTAATGAGGTAGCCTAAATATGTCTGCTTTGTCAATGTATCCAGGAATTATGAATATAATATGGTGTTAAATATGTGTTCTTTTTTGCAGGTGAATCTGGTTGAATGGCTAAAGATGATGGTTGGAACAAGAAGAGCTGAAGAAGTTGTTGATTCAAGGATTGAGCCTCCACCCGCTACACGTGCTCTGAAACGTGCACTTCTTGTTGCCCTGAGATGTGTGGATCCTGAAGCACAGAAAAGGCCTAAAATGAGCCAGGTTGTGCGGATGCTTGAATCCGATGAACACCCTTTCCATGAGGTAAATATATACTTAATTCACCAAATTTAGACAAATTCTCTGGATATATTGAACACTTTTATCATATACTATAAAAAGTGATGGTCCAATTCTACAGGAATTGTTTATGTGTGTTGTGCATATATCAAGAAACTAGTGTTTTTTTCGCAGGAGCGGAGGAACAGAAAAAGTAGAACAGCGAGTATGGAGATTGTCGAGACCACTGAGGAATCAGCTGACACGAGCAAACGGCCTGGTGACTCAGAGAACCACACTACAAAACCTGAGAAGACTCTTGTATAGGAAGGAAATATGTCGCAAGACCCAGTGAAAAACTTAGCTAAGTAACTTCACACCCTCAAATGCTGACGAAAGAGTTTTTCGTGCTTGTGGAGAAACAAAATAAATCGGGTAAAAGAAGATTTAGATCAAAAGAGCTGTTCTAGTTATTTCTAACATCCGCCAAGTAACTAATGATGCAACCTTAGGGGCCAATTTTTTTTATGATTGAGAAGCGTTTTGTCTCTCTTGATATTTGTAAAATTCTTGGTTCTTCTGTAGTCTTTTTAAGTCTTGGCTTTTAGGATGTGAAACGTTAGCCATAGCAGATTTGTTGTTGTACTAAGAATTGAATTCATTTGTCATCCTCTCTCTTGATTGAGACATGTATATATAATCAAGTTTTTATCAAAAGAGCTGTTCTAGTTGTTTCCAACATCGGGTGAGTAACTAATGATGAAAATATTAGGAGCTAATATTTTTCGATGATTGAGAAGCGTTTCGTCTCTCATGGTCTTTTTGATATTTGGTTCGTCTAAACATCTTGAGTCTTGGCTTTAGGATATGATCAAACATTAGCGAGAGGAGATTCGTTGTTGTACTATGAATTGAATTTACTTGTCATCATCCTCTCTATTGATTGAGACATGTATATTTATAATCAAGCTGTGACATATCTCAAGTAATAACAGTCAAATTGGAGAAAAACATTCGCTTCTCAATATTTGTTCATTTTCAGATGTTTTAATTGATTAAAAATAAAAATCGACGTTTTTATGTACGTACATTATGGATCTATTTAAAGAAAATTCACTAGTTGGATCTACAAATTCATTTAGCACTACACTATAAACTTATAAGCTTAACTGGATGTCTAACAAGTACGTATTTTTTTCAAATCTTTCTATATATGTGTTAATAAATCGGATAACTAAAATACTTGTTTATATTGTTTTGAATCTGAAAGTTACACGAACTTCTATATCAAGTGGTTTATAATGTTTTGAAGTGGCTGTATTAGAATGTCCCACATTGCTTGGGATTAAGATCTTTGGGTAGTATATAAAGGATGTGGCAATCTTTAACTCTTGAGCTAGCTTTTGGGTTAAGTTAGGCCACATTCCTAATATGGTATCAGAGCCCAAGGTTGGCCCAACAAGCAAATTCCCACAAAAATGGTTTCCCACCTATGTGGCCCATATAAGTGGCATGTCTTGTTGTATTTCCGAGATGTTGGGCTTGGGTTGTTTCCCGTTGGACCGTTTCCCACCCACATCTCGAGGAGGCCTATTAGAATGTCCCACATTGCTTGGGATTAAGATCTTTGGGTAGTATATAAAGGATGTGGCAATCCTTAACTCTTGAGCTAGCTTTTGGGTTAAGTTAGGCCACATTCCTAATAGGCTGTAAAAAAAAAAAATTGTTTTGAAGTTTGAAATGGAAACCCAATGATCGATCATCGATATAGCGAAAATTATCGAATTAAAAAAAAATAAAGAACTTTATTCTTCAAGATGTGTGAAAATAAAAATACAAACAAATCGTTGACAAATGAAAAACATCTCAGCTTTATCCCGTAACAGAATTATCCGTAGATACCATGACAATGAAGAGAACAAATATCAACTTGGGTCCCATTCAGCATGGTTTTGAAGTATACGGGATGTTGGCAATATTTGTGACATGTATGACATTTGGGACGAGAGCTACTACTATGGCACACAACTTCCACATCTTCAGTGTAGTGCTCAAAAATATGACCAGACTTCAAATAAACATTAACTCCGAATATACATTGATGGTGGATTGTGCTGCACTTCTTGCTGTTTGTGTAGAACCATTCCCTTGGATCTACTTTTCCCTCACATACTTCGCACCAGTACGTGTCATCCACGCCTTTTTCTCCGTAGCAAAGAGTGAGAGGATTGTCATCATATTTGTGGTATATCTCATTTGGAATTGTCGCGCATACGTAGCATATAGCAAATTCGCATGAAACGCATTGTAGATGATATCCTTTAAGTCTGAACCGGCAACCATGGCAACTAATCTTACTATCTTTCCCGTAGAAGATGGTTATGAATAAACGATGTTCTACATGACTTTCATGGATGAAACACTCAGGAACCATAATGCAGTTAACATCTACCTGAAATTGTCTGCCATGATCCGAACATCCGTCTTTTTTGCATCTATACTTCAAACCACTTGATTTTCGAAGACAAACTGAACAACGTAATTCCTCATCCGTGCTATCGTATATTGGATACGGGTCCATGAAAAGAGGGTGGTTATGCAACGCATGATCCAATTTCCGAGGAAGATTGGCACATACCTCGTGGATAGAGAAATCACATTCGATACAATTGTAAAAATCAGGAGGGGTGATAGAACGCATACACGCCTGACATTGCTTTTTCGAGTCTCTTGTACTGTCGTATTTCTCGAGCTTTAGATAATGATGTTGATGCCAACAATGTTCTATCAAACCACCACTTATTTTCTTGTATGGAGCAACATCTTCGTCAGGTTCTTCGTCTTCCCATTCGAGTTCCTCACCATCCCATATTTTTGCGTGTGTTGCACAATTTGAATGGACTACATAAAAGCAATCCTCATGGTTGCAAGAATATTGACTATACTTGATGTCAACATTCTTGTAGCAAACCCGGCAGGGTGAAACTTTGGCTGGAAGGTAAGGAGTGTGAGAGAGCCGATGAGGGTGACGTGTGATCTTTATGACGCGGGGTAAATCAATACAACTTTGATGAACCACGTAATTGCATTGGTAACATGCATAACTTGGCTCCAAAACGTTGATCAACCCACAAGCATTACAAGGAAATGAAAGTGGTCGAGGGAACAAGGCGAGTGAATGGTGATGGCTTTTAGGATTTTGGATTGTAAGAGGTGGAAAATTTGAGGCACAATGGAAATCCAAGGAAAAGTTACATATCGTACAACGATAGAACCATCCGTTGAGATCATTACCACACCAAGTGCATATATCGAATAAGATATTGGATTTTGGCTCAATAGTTTCGGGGTATTCAGAATTTTCTATATTAAAACGATACCGAAATCTATAATATTCACCATAATTGGTGTCGGCTATGATTCCGGTTTCATAGTTTATAACGCTGAAAACGAGAGGGTGTTGCGGATGATAGGGGTGAATTATCTTACTTGGATACTCAAGACAAGTCTCATGGAACTCTAGATCGCATATGGTGCAGTAGTAATGCGGCTCAGGACATAGACGTATCTGATCCCAAGTAACTTCGCTTTTCCCGCACCCAAAGCAGTCGTGCTTAACCTTCTGCTTGGATCTATGGGAGAAGTTGTGAGGTTGAGCCGGATCAGACACAATGCATCTCGGCATTTCCAATTCCTTATCATTCGTTTCTTCATCACTGCTTTGGCCCTGACCCATTTCTTTTCTGCTTTAGTTCTTTTTTTTTTTTGTATTTTCTCTTTAGATGGATATGTGTGTCTACAAATTTGTCTTCCCACTCTATATAGATGACAACGATAAAACAAAATATAATTAATCAACAAGTAGCCTCATATTTCCATAATAAAGAATGCCGAACACATAACTATGTATATCATTAGCAATTGACCCAACCCAAAGATTCATTTTTTATGCATTGGTTTCCACTACTTTTAACAACATTTATCATTGAATTTTATTTCCAAGATCTGCCTCCAGGCTGTCCACGTTACAAGAAATATAGTATTATTGATTATATTTAGATTATAGAACCCTAATTAGAAATGAAATCCAGCTAATCATGCTCCCCAGAGGCCAGAGTCGTCATAGTGGTGACGGAGAAATAACGACCTTTTTTTAAAAAAATTTATTAAAACCTTTACCATTTACTAAATTTAAATCAATTGATAAAGGTTTGTTAGCTGTTAACACAGCTGTTTACTCCAGCTACATTTTAAGTTAACCCAGATTTTGTTTTACTCTAGCTTTTTACATGATGTTTTGTTTGCTTATTATTAGTTACACCGCAAATCATTTATGATCTCATGTTTTGTTTTACTCGAGAGTATAGTATCAAACAATTACATGTTCTAAATTTCTAGTATTACATTTTCATTTTCCAAAATGAAAATTACTAGTGGTAATTAATGACCAAAAAAAATTACTAGTTACACATTTTCCAGATTATAATTTGTTATCATCATCAACGTGAGTCAGCTGAGTGGTAATGAGACCAATACTCTTTCACAAGCTTTCCGAACAAAGAGTTTTCATCCTTCATCAACTTCATCGGCTCATCATACTCCACAATTCGTCCTAACATTCAATCAAACACGTAAAACAAATTTCAAGATTCAGAGCAAAAACAAAATAAAAAACTATGGAAAAAATAGAAAGAAAGAAATTAAAATGATGCAACACTTACCGTCACTGATGGAGAGAACCATTGTACAATCCATAACGGTGGGGATACGGTGAGCCACGGTTATGACGGTGCAATCGGCAAATTCTCGCCTGATTGTTTTCTGAAGTATCAAATCTGTTGCATTATCTATCGATGCCGTGGCTTCGTCTAGTACTAATACTCTGCTTCTTCTCAAAACTGCCCTGCCTAAACAGAACAACTGTCTCTGTCCCATGCTCCAGTTTGATCCATCCTCCACAACTAAACAAAACAATAACCCAACTTTGAGCCACAAAATATGAGAATTTTCTATCTTTTAATGAAACTCAGATTTGTTACCTAATGAGTCTAAGCCGTTCTCTTTTTCTTGAACCACTTCTTTTAGTTGACACTTGCCAAGAACCTGCATTTTTTTAAAAATGGCTTTTTGTTTAATCTCAACTTCTTTATAAGATTCATAGTTTTTTCAAATGTGTTTTTTAGTTAAACGTACCTCCCAAATCTCAGCATCTGAATGCTGACACAAAGGATCCAGATTAAATCTCACTGTTCCATTGAACAGAGTTGGATCCTGAGGTATAATCCCAAACCTTGATCTCAGATCATGAACTCCAATCTTGGAGATGTCAACACCGTCAACAACAATCTTTCCTCCAACAGGCTCAACAAGTCTGAACAAAGCACTGATCAGAGTTGTCTTTCCACTACCGGTCCGACCAACAATTCCAATCTTGTGTCCTCCTTC